GATTTTTCTGAGGAGGGGGGTTAGGTGTTTTGGGGCGGGGGGGGAGGTTTTTACAAGGCGGGGGGGTAGGGTTGTGGGGAGCTGCTTTGGGGTGGCACAAGCTGGGCTGCCAGGCCTGGGTGGGGGTGCCGGGCCTGGGTGGGGTGGCGGCGCGGCGGCGGGGTGGCGGGGATTGCCACCGGCGGCGGCGGCGGCGGCTGGGGACGCCCTGAATGCACCCGCCGAGGCATTACAAAGGCATTACAAAGTGCTGCCCGTGCCTGAGGGCTGAGGGGCGGCCCTGTGCCAGCACTGGGCCAGCATGCAGGCGGCTGCCCACCGCTCCTGTGGCCCTCCTACCCTTGGTCCTGACTCGCCCGCTGCCCTTGCGCCGCGCTTGCTGCCCGTGCGCCGCCGCAGGCGGGCCAGCATGGACGTGCCGGCGCAGAAGCAGGAGGGCAGCAGCAGCGGCGCCGCCGCCGCGCCGCCGCCCTCCACATGAGCAGCCGGCCGGCCAGCCAGCCAGCCAGCAAGCAAGCCAGCAAGCAAGCCAGCGGGCTGGCTGGCCCGGCCCTGGGATGGCTTGGGTTGAGGGCAGCAGGCGCCGCCGCTCCCGGCGCACATGGCGCCGGGAAGCGCCGCTGCCGCCGCCCGCTGCTTCGCCCACCTGCGCCCGCGCCGGCCATTCACCTGCCGCTGCCCTGCGGCCCAGTTTTCGCACGCACCGACCAATTCGTCCGCGGGTGGCGCCGCTGCGCCTGCCGCCGGTGCGCCCCGCAGCCCTTTGCGACGAGGCGCCGGCGAGCGGGCAGCCAGCAGCTCTGTTGCCCCTGTCCCCTTGTCCAGTGCGGCAGCCCGCGCGTAGCGTGCGCGCCCCTGCCGCCACCCATTCTTTCTATGCGCCGTCTTTCTTTTTTTCGCGCGCGTACTAGCCGCCGCCTCCCCCACGCGCAGACGCCACGCCTTGTACCACACTCCCGCCATTGCACCGCGGCGCCTGCCTCGGCGAGAGAGAGGCGGCGCGGGCTGCGGGCCACGTTGGTTTGGCCCACCCCGCGCCGCCCTTGATACGCCGTGCCGCACGCCGCCGCCCCGATATCGCCCGCCCGCCGCTACCGCGCCCGGCCTGCGCCGCCTGTCTGAGCCTGAAACTGCTAACCCCCTTCCGATGTCCGTTCCTGCTGTCCCCCCCAGCCTTTTCCCTCACCTGTCTCGTCACCCCCCGCCCCTCCGCAGCCAGGTCGTGCGGCGCGCGGCAGCGACGGCCGCCCTTGCGCGCCTGGCTGGGAGCCATTTCATTTTTGACTGTCCTGTCTTCCGCACCACCAGGGGGGTGCCTTGTCCCGTCTTGCTCCTGTCTCTGTCTGTCTGTCTGTGTCCTGTGTCTGTGGGGCCGAGCGCCGGGGCCCCGCCCTGCCACCCCCGTCCCACCCCAGCTGGTAACGCGTCCCAGCAAACAACTGCCCACTGTCGGCAGGCAAGTTAGCTCATGTGCCTGCCTGCCTGCTGCGCCCATTCTTTCGCATGCCCGCTGTAATGAGGAGCGAGATCGATCGTGTCATGAGGAGGGGTTTGGCGGGCGGGTGAGGGGGGAAGGCCGCCCTGTGGGTTGAGCGGCGGCGGCAGCGTGAGGGGTGAGCGGTGGCTGCGACCTGCGCGGCGAGCCCCCTTGGAAGGAGCTCCCAAGTGTGTGTGTGTGGGGGGGGGGGGGGAGCGAGCAGCAAGATCGATCGTGTCATGAGGAGGAGGAGGGGCTGGGTGAGGTGCGAGGTGGCAAGGGTGGCGCTGCGGGCGGGCGGATTGCCGCTCCCTTTCCAATTCCTTTGAAGTGGCCCACCCTGGCGTTCTCCTGCCAGCAGGGACGCATCTAACGACGCTAACCTCCACCGCCCAGCCTGCAACACCTTGCAACCGCCAGGGTGCCTCCTGGCCTCCCTCCAACTCAGCCCTCCCCCACCTTTCCCCCTGGGCTGCCAACCCTTTCCACCAAGCCCCAAGCTGCCCCTGCCCTGCGCCGCCTGGCCAGCCTGCTGGCTGCCCCGCTCCTGCTGGCGATGCTTGCGGCCGCGGGCGCCGCCGCTCCCGTGGAGGGCACGCCGCTAGCCCCGGACGCAACCTGCTGCTTCAAGGAGGGGCCTCACCACAACGCTACGTGCTGCTGCGCCCCTCCCCTCCTCCCTCACCTTTCCGTGTCCACCGGGTGTTATTGCCAGTACCCCGACCAGCCAGCCTCCGATAACCCGCCACATAACCCGCCGCGGCCAACTCCCACACTGCTGGCATCGGGGAACCCTCGGAGCTCCCACCCGATGACACCTGCTGCTTCAAGGAGAAGCCGCCCTTCTGGAACGTGACCTGCTGCTGCGCTCCGCCGCTGGTCCAGTTCTGCAGCACAGCTTCATGCGGTTGTAGCATCGCCAGAGCCAGGGGCGTGGCGACCATTGAGGTGTAGGTAGCCGCGTGCCGGAGGCATGGCTCTCCTGAACATGTGCAATGCAAGATGCTCTCTCGTGCCCCGGCCCTGTATATGGGCCTTCCCTCCTTCCTTCTTCACTGCCATGCACATCGCCCGCCCTCGCCATCTCCCGCCTGCCACACCCTGCCCCCTCGCCTGTGTTCCTCCTGCACAGCCCGCTGTTTCACAGGCCGAGCATGCTGTGGCACCGAACACATATGACATAGGTAGACGCCTTGTAACGAAGAGCGCGAAGCGGGGCGTCACAGAAAGGAAGGGGGGGGTAAACACACGCAGATGATGGGGGCAGTGTGGGAGCACGTAGTTAGGCAGTGTCGAGTCAGGCAGTCAACAGTGTGTGTGTGGGGGGGGTGCTACTTAGCGGTAAGCTGGGAGGGCGGGCGGGTTCAGCACCGGTGGCGGGGACACTAGCAACACCGAAGCGCGGAGCAGCAGCAGCCAGCAGCAGCGGTGTTCATTCTTCTTTGGTGGTCACGAGCCCCGCCCCGGCTGCTGCTGAGGCCTTCAGTCCGCCTTGCCCTCGCCGGCCGCCGCGTCCCCTCCCGCCAGCTGCGCCGCGCGGCGCTTGCGCTTGATGAAGCCGCGCAGCAGGCGGTAGGACCAGATCTGTGGCGGTGGTACGGCAGCAGTACG